GTGATTTAACAAGACATCTCATGAAGTCATGATTCGATAAAAGTGCGCTGCTCCGTCAAATCACGAGACGTCATTTTTGCAGTTGATTTCGTAGGGGTTACATCGGAGAAAAATTACAATATTTCTGTTAGTACTTCAAATATTACGCCAGAAATTTAAATACATAATATTAAAAAAATAAAAAGAAATTTTAGAGAAAATTGATAAATAATATCGTGAAATATGGAAAATAAATGAATAAAATTTTGGATACCGCATGTTTGTTTTTCAACATTTTTGCCGTGCTCCGTATATCACCATAAGCAGTATCAAATAATTTTATGAGTTATTAAATAAAATCAAAAAAATTTACCAAGAATTTATTATATAATAATATAATTTATATAATAATTTTATGAGATATTAAATAAAATCAAAAAATTTTACCAAGAATTTATTGGAATTTTTAAGAAATATGCTCCTGTGAAATTTCAATTCTATATGACGTCTGTAGGAGTAAATAATAGAAGAGTCCGCGTAATTTTTGAACGGCCCTCATACATGTAGCTATTTTATGCTTGTGTCCCATCAATAAGAATAACTTTTTTTGTTTCTACTTGTGGAGAAATTTTTGCTTCCCCCCCCCCCCCGGCCAAAAAAAGTGAAATGTCTGGTTGTGCACCCTTCCCAACTGAAATTGTTTCCTACGGTCCTGACTTTCAAAACATGCAAACATTGATTGGAGCTACATGTAGAATAATGACACTAATAAGAAGGTCACTATTAGAGCGCAAATCATTGAAGTGAAACCAGTTCAAGAATATTGAATCACCTTAACCTACAATGAAATATGAAGATAACGAACAGTATTCAATCTCGAAAGTCCAATGAAACGATACAAATTTGGAGCAGATTAAACACATACCTCAAAAGTAAAAGGTGGGATCAGGTGCCATGGAGGAGTGAGCATCCCCTGCCGACCGGTCACACTCACTTTGTGCTCCTTGTCATGATCGGAAAAAAACGGAAAAATCCGTAGACAATTCAGTGTATAAATAATGGCCTAACAATTAGTATGAAAAACGTTTGACTCAATGATAGGTTGTATGTGCTGACCAGGGGCCCGTTTCACAAAGCTAACTTAGGACTAAGTTATATCTTAGGAAAGAACTTTTTCCTAAGTTCATTACTTATCCGTTTCACTAACCTCGTCTTATCTTAGGATATTCCTAAGTTATGTCGTAACTTTAAGACAAGTAAATCAATGACTTAGGAAGAAACTAAATATAACGGCTGTAGATACATGTACAAGGATTCTTACAGAGAGATACTGCGTGTGTTTAGGGAGAGAAAAAATCAAAAGGACTACTAGTATATGAATGATTGTGATCCCTTCAGGCTATAACTGCTTTACTTTGTATGTAATAGCTAAGAAAAGGATTTTAAGAATTGTCAGAGATGTGTCTGTATCACTGGTCAAAATTATTCCAAGGTATATAAAAATGTCCATTGGTGAAGTTGGAACTACAAATACATTGTACTTAAAGAATATTTGATTTCTCACGAATTCGTGGATTTCCCAATGTTACTACAAAATGGACGGTGTACATGTTGGATTAATTCACCTTCATTTAAAGAGCACGATTTTGTAAACAAAAAAATTCCACGCTATATACACTATTGTCTGTGTTACAAAACTTTGCATATAATTTGAACCATTATTATATATTTTTAAATCTAATAATATTACTAGTATTTGAATCCATATTTAGTATTTGAAAGATTAAAGTTTGATGAGGGAACAAATTTGTTCTCTTCAGCTCCTGATATAGCTATCTCTCTAAAAATCGCTTTATCTTATCTGCAATGGGAGGAAGGAGGCGTTGAAGTGCAAGGCTTTGACCATTTTTCCTCTGTTTCCGCTTAATGACATCCACTTCTTTTCAACTCTTCCCCTGAACAAATGTATATTGTTACAGAATATTAGGTCCCCCTGTCCCTTTTGGGCTGGTTTGTCATGGTATAATTATGCATGAAGATTATAATAAATTTCCTTTTTTCAAATTTTTTCTGTTAGTGTTGTCATTTCCACAGTCGCGAATTTGGAATTTCTTATCTGTCGAAAAATTCTTATTTTAAATTACACAGTATCACGGACAACTAACGTGGAGCACTCATTCGCGAAGAAATAAAAAGAAAATAAGGCCTCTGTTAGATTGCTTGCCCTTCGAAGCAATTATTGTTTTAAATTTATTCCATTTCCTAATTGAAACGATACTAGTAGAAAAATATATAGTGGGGGGGGGGGGATATACAATTGCAAACCTCCGATACCTTATACAGAGCAAAATAAAAGGCAAACATATAAAAGCACAAATTTAGTATAAAAAGTAGTTTTATTTTTTAATTTTTATAATTTAAAAGTTAGTTTAAAAAAATACACGTCTTGTGACTGGGGGTGGGGGTTATGTGTGTGTATGTGTGTGAGGAATGTGTGAGTGCTTAGTTTAAGTAGGAAACTAGTCAAGGTTAAACCATACTTCTGTCCAAGTCCTTTGAAAGTGAAGGGTAACCCCTAACTTCCCGACCCTCCCCTTTTCAAGCTGTTTTTTTTACTTGAAAAAAAAACCCGATTCAAACTACAGATTTCTACTCATACTGACATCCTCCTAACAGTAAAAATTGTAGAAAGAGTGGAGTAGTTATTTCATTAGTCCGTAACACAACTTAAGATATGTCTTAGGATAAAGAAGATGGGTGAACAAGGCGGGCGAAGTGCCTATAGTGGGACAAACATGAAGTGAAAAATAAAATCTCAATTATATCAAAATTATCTTTGATATTTCATCTAACATTAAAGTATACTTCATGTAAAATCTCTACAATTTACAACAATCTCACAAAGACTGATAATATTTGCCTACGAAATAGCATACACGCACTAAAGAGGACAAAAAGGATCATTTTCTCATACTTCAACAAAATTTTTCGATATGAATGGGTCTTCGCTCCATTTTTTTGAAAGTTAATCCTAAAAGTTTGCATAAAAATATACATGTTTTGGTTTACAAAAACATGGAGCGAAGACCCACTATATCTTAAAAGTACACTTTTATGACAATGCATTAGCATCTTTCCGAGAAATACTTAAGTCCATTTAGTCAAGAGTCATATCACAAACATGATTTAAATGCCACTATTCATCAGGAGCTGTGTAGCGTAGTGCAAGTGGTTAGCGTGTTAGTCTTAAAGCAATATGATACTCCGGATTTTTGTTGTTAGGGGTTCGAATCCCACAAATACCATTTTATTTTTGTAATATAAGAATAATTTTTTTCGAGATTTTTTTTCTCAGAAAAGTTTTGTTGATCATAATTTCATAAATTTCAATGATGAGTACTTTACTTTAAATACTTAATTCACAAATTGAATATGATTTTTTAATATCTGAAGCTATAGGCATTCTGCACGCCTTGTTCACCCATCTTCTTTAAGATCAGATTGTTTCGTGAAACAGATGTGACAAATCTTAGGAACTTCCTAAGTTATAACTTAGGCATATCTTAAGTTATATCTTACGACATATCTTAGGAAACTTTTGTGAAACAGGCCCCAGATCATTATATCGACCGTAAAACTTACGAAAAGATGACTTCAAACAAGACTGTTGATAGCCTTGTTTCATCAACTTGTTTGTCAATAACTTGCCTCGTTTTAGAAATTGTTCATACGTAGAGCATGCCCTTGCGTATCGAATCAACTCAGCCTCAGTGGCTACCTAAACTAAGAATCCAAAAGAGCTATCTATGAATGTTTAAAACTTGAATTTCTAAGAAATTGGCCTGGACACAGATTTTAAGTTATTTTAAGTTAATATTTTCTCAAATTTTCGGTATAATATCATGACTTATATGTTGCTATACATGTATCATTTCACACGGAAATATAATAAAAGCTTGTTCAACAACTTTTTATCTGGAAATTATTGAAGCTATACGAATTTCGAGATACGCTTGATTGACACATTCTTGCACTTTGACAAAGTAAACTTTATCCTTAATACTTAAGAAAAGTAGAAAATTTGTTGTGTATTAATGAAAATATAAAACTATAATCCAGGAAATTCAGATTAAAAATGTGAGAAAGCAAAACCAACTCACCAGTATTATCAGTCCGTGCTCAGTGATGTGTGCAGAGTTTAACAAATTGTTAACAATAACAAAGCTCGTGCCCTGTTTACAAAAACAGATGTTTGGCGTGATGTAAAGAAGAATGTCGTCATTCTAAAATTTTTTCAGTGATTGTTGATATCAGCAATTTTAAGTATTGCAATAAAGTAGTGATAAAATCATTATCTTCGTTGTCAAATCCATTTTTTTTTTTTTATGACATATAAGCTAATTTGAATATTATAGTTTTACATGTATGTGAACACCCTCCCCCATTTTTAATTTAGCATATGCCAGGTATATATAAAATTATATACATGTAGTCGGGTGCATGGCTTGCTGTTTAAGGCCTTAAAAAACCGTTCCGTAAACTCTGCATGATTTGTGCTGTGTGTGTGGTTTTTGTTTTTGTTTTTGTTTTTTTAATTTTTTAAATTTTTTTTTCATTTTATTTTTTGAGAAATTATAAACTCTTACATTTTCTTTAATTAAAGGGGGGGGGGATATCGATCCACTAACCACTCACTTCCATCATCACTGCATGGTCTGTACTGTAATAATGTACATGTATGCTCAAAATCTGAAAAAGTTAGAAAAATAAAATGTGATAATTGACTTGATATAACAGTAAAACGGGCACCATTTCTAGTTTAGCTCATTTTATTTGTTGTTTGTTAATTTCAAAATTTGAACTTTAAGTCTTAATATAAAAAGATTTATTCATACAAATTCTTATCCAATCCTTTTCTTCATTTTAAAACATAGATCTGGTGTAAGGGTATGTGAAGGGAGTACTAACCAATATATTTGTGCGAATTAGGACACGAACGAGTTAATCATTAATTCATGAAAATCAAGATGGCCGATGATCTGAGAGGCTGTTATACATTACACGAAATGTTCACAATTGTGGGCAGTAGAATGACACAAAAGGATATCAACATCTTGAAATATCTCTACAACGGTATTATGCCTCAGAGAATTATAGGTCGGGTGAAGGACGGGGTGGAATTTTTGCTTGGGCTGGAAAAAATGAACAGAGTTGATGAAACAAACTTCAAATACGTTGTAGATTTACTGAGAATGATTTCACGACATGATTTACTGCAGTATGTCACTTTAAGGAAACGCAAACCAGGTATATCATATGCTTTATTTTAAAAGGATTCTTTAAATACTTATTTTAGAACTATTAGTATACAGTGTACAATACACAATTGAATTGACATCTGTTCTCAAAATTCCAATGCAGTATATGTTGGTATAGAAAATGCTTTTGAGTGAAATTATGAAAAAGGGTAAAATATCTTTCATTACAAAGTACATGGTTGATACCGGTTGCTTTAAAAGATAATTATCATTGAATGTACCATAGCCATAGGCCGCCATGTTTTCTATTGTTTTAACTATGGGTTATCTACACCATAACCCATGGGCAGAGCCTTCATAACCTATAGGTGGAGCCTTGAATTGCATACAAAATCAATTAAATTTTATTTAATATCTTTATTAATAACATTCCACTTATATATACATCGTCGTCATGGTAAAACTTTCCAAATCGATTGTCAGAATGATCCAACTGCTGTATAAGATTCTCGGGTGTGACCGACTCCTGGGTCAAATTAAAATCCGTTTGAGTAAGAGATAAATCCCCAATACCATCTTACATGTTTACTTCGTCCTCTATGAACTGGCCTATCTGTGAGAGAGTTTGATCATCAATAGAATTGTCCCATTCAAAATTTTGCGGCAGTTCAACTTGACAAGAAAATCGAGATTCATGCTCATTGCGTTGTGTTTGCCCATTTTCGCTTTTTAATTGCAAGTGCGCAAAATGCACAATAAAATGTAATATTTATGCACAGCATATAGCACTTGCCATTATAATTATGTCGGGTGACAAACCACCATATTAGAAAATTTATTTGCAGCTTATACATCATCTCTCTGCCGTATTAAGAAATCTGAGAGTGCTATGGTACGTGTGACTTACCGTATAATTTTTTATTGGTTTTCTCTAGATAACCTATAGAGAGGTTAAAAGGTCACTTGAAGGCTGCACCTTCTTGTGACCTTTTAACCTCTCTTTAGGGTATCTAGAGAAAACCAATAAAAACTTATACAGTAACTACTTCGAGTAAGACATTTGCCATTCATGTCAAAGTTAACTGTATTCAGAACAGCCTATCTCATTTTCTCAATGCCATTTTTGTTCATCAAATCAAAGGTAGCCACTATGTCACATGATCAGGGTTGGCAAAAAACTGGGAAATACTCATATTTCCCAGGACGGTGGGAAATACTGGTAATTACCGGGATTTACTGGTATTTCCCGGGAAATACTGGGAAATAAGAAATATAGCTACATATTTCATTCATATTGACATTTATTACACCTTATTGGTTAAGATATCTACCTGGTATCACTGTCCCTGATCTAAAAAAAATTCTGGTTTCCAAGTTATTCATTTTATATAATCATAACACAGTATATTCATGTACCAGTCATGAGTGTCATATGTTTCGTGCTTGAGTCTGATGTAGTCTATGAAGGTCCAATGAACCCAAATATCCCAATTGTGTTTTTTTTATGTTACTAAAGAAGGATTTAAGAAAATTCTTAAATGTAGAGTATGGTATAAATATCAAACCTAAGAAGAAGCTTTTCAGTTCTACTCAAGGTAATTATCTCTCAAAACAGGGGCACAAAACTGTCCAGAGCAATTTGTAAAAACAACAGTGTTTATAGAAGGATTAAAACAAGTTTGTTTTGTTCTTGGACTTATAATTAATAAATTTAATAATATTTCTAAATTGAAAAGAAACTTGAATTGGAAAACTTCAGTTTTATAATTATACAGCCAGGGAAATGTTTCAGAATGCTTATGGGTATGGAACCTGGAGAAGTGATACATTCTGAAAATGTTAAATTGCACTATGAGACATATTCAATATTATTCATCTTCTGTTTTTATGTTTATTTTATTTTTGAATTTTGTATAAGATTGAATGAATTAAAGAAATAAAAAACTTAAACTTTGTATTTCCCAGTATTTCCCAATATTTCCCAGTTAAGAGAAAATTTGTAGTAATTCCCGGGATGGGAAATACCGGTATTTACCACTGGTAATTCCCACCACTGGTATTTCCCAGCCAACCCTGCACATGATACACTAATTCAAACAAGCATTCTGAGAGTATTGCATAAGCAATACATGTCCTCTACCGGTATCCCCTTTTCTTTTTAGGATGTTATTTTATAAGACCCTGTATATGATAACTGCGCCCTCCACCCCCACCCCCCACTCCCAAATGTGGACATTTTGGATTACTTGTTTATGAATGAAATGTTGGAATGAAATCTGTCTTACAAAGACGTGTTTGACTAAAATCACATAATGTATGAATAACATGACAATTGCTTACGTTACTCGTTTTCCCTAACCCGTTTTCCCTAACCTGGCATTTACCACCTGGTAAAAAATCTCTGCCTTTAACTTATAAATAAATAGGGATATAAATTTAAAAACAATTCAAATCGGGATAAATATTCAGTCTTTATTACATCTGGTACTATTTCGCCAATTATATTAAGTATTCGCTGGTAGGAATTGCTGAAAACAATGCACAATATTACTTTACTGTCTTCTGTCACAATGGACGACCTTGTTTTTGGCAATCGGCAACATTTTAGTGCAGCACGAACCCGATTGTGAACCCGATTATAAAAAAAGAGGAATTCTTAAAACTGATTTACTCTAGCACCTGTTGGTCAAACGTGACAGAATTCAAACTCGATCTATAGTTTGTCACTATAAAGCTACCTAGCAATTTTGAAATCAATAATTCTAAACCTGACAACCTCGTTTTGTAACATTAATATAGTGCAGCACAAACCCAATCTTGAACTATTATAAAAAAAGAGGAATCTTTAAAACTGATTTACTCGGGAACCTTTTGGTTAAACGTGATAAAATTCAAACTTGATCTGTAGTTTATCACTATAAAGGTACATAGCAAGTTTCAAATCAATTCTCAAAAGCATAAAGAAAAAAGTGCGGAAAACCAATTGGGACAGACTGACAGACAGACAGAGGGACGGATGGACGGACAGACTCAGAGGAAACCTATAGTCCCCTCTGATTTCACCGATAGGGGACAAATAAAGGCATTACTTTCGTATTAGGAAAATAATAATAAGTCCCCTACCGGTGAAACCGGTCCCCTCTGATTTCACCGATAGGGGACAAATAAAGGCATTACTTTCCTATTAGGAAAATAATAATAAGTCCCCTACCGGTGAAACGGGAGGAGACTATAGGTTTCCTCTGAGTCTGTCCGTCCGTCTGTCTGTCTGTCAGTCTCTCCCACTTGGTTTTCCCCACTTTTTTTTCTAAATGCTTGCAGATATTGAGCTGATTTTTGGTATGTGAGTGTATCTTGATGAGTTGCAGATCAAGTTTGCATTTCCTTCCGCTTCAATGATTTTTGACGGAATTACGACCTTTTCAATTTTTCACAGTTTTCCGCAAATTTTTTTTCTAAACACTTGCAGATATTGAGCTAAGTTTTGGTATGTGACTTTACCTTGATGAGTTATAGATCAGGTTTGCATTTCATTCCGCTTCATTGATTTTTGACGGAATTATGGCATTTTCAATTTTCAACAGGAACGAGATACCACTTGCTGGTAGGGGACTAGTATTGCTAATGCAATACTCTCAGAATGCTTGTTATAATTTCATTTTGACAACCTTATAGAGCTTTTTGATTTCAATTATATATTTTACAGCATTTTTGTAACTTAATTTGGTAAACAAAATAAATTTCCAACTTTATTTTTAACTGATGCAAATTATAGCATGTATAGCTTTAAAAAGAAGTAGTTTGGACTTCCAAACCACTTTGATATATCCCTGGTATTCAAGATAATTTTAAACATAATGATTCAGATGTTAAACTGTATTTTAACTAAGGCTTTCTATAAACATGATTAGCCAGAATGTTATTATTTTACGAAGCAGTAAACATGATAAGAGAGAAAGCTGACAAGAGTTTCTGGATTTAAACATTGTATGGAATTCCATCAATTTCCATGTGATAAAATAAAGAGTATTTGAGTGGAGATATTTAACTTTTGGATGTTATTTACTTTTTCCAGTGTGTCCAGATCCTGTCAATGAATATCTAGAAGAATCATCCAGATTATCAAACATACCAACTAATGTGCCAAGGGAAAGAAAGCGAAAAGGTGCTGAACCATCAGACCAGAAAGACTGCAAAGTCAGGAGGCGCTCTCTGCACAGGAAAGCTAAATCCAGGTCTGGATTCGCTAGTGAGCAAAGCTCTAGTCCAGGGACTTCTTCTTCTTTTGGCCCAGGATCTTTTGTTACAGATGACAGTGATGCAGACCTGACAACAACTACGACAAAAGTTACTTGTGGTAAGATGTTTATTATTTACAATGACTTTTCCTTGAGAACTATTAGTTAATACAAATATTGTTATAAGGAAGTGAAATTCTTCTCCTTTGATTATTTCTTTGATTGTTTGCATATTATCCTTCTCAAATTTTCTCCATACACTATTAGGCTGTCCAAAGTTAATTCTGTTGTACATTTAGCATCACTCAGGCATAGGGGTTTCGGAGAAATTGGCACTTTGAAAAAAAATCAGTATTTTTAGCTCACCTGAAATTTATACTTAGAGATTTAATAAAAATTATCATTAAACATTAAACCTACATGATGCACAAATATTTACAGTATTTTGAATCATACAAATGATAAATACTCATTTGTTTGAAATTTTTGTTTTTTTAACTTTTTGAAAAAACATTAAGTTATTTTCAGCCAGTCTTAAAAAGACGTCAAGAGAGAGGTTGCTGATCTGTCACTTGAACTATTTAAGGTCATAAAGACAAGGTCAAGATCAGTGTAAAATACATGTACATGTATTTATGTTGATTGATAAGTATTTATGCAGAGTATTGAATTTGGCTATCTTTAAAAAAGTTTTTGCTTGCTCTCTCCCTACTCTGGATGAAAAAAATTGGGCAGGTAGAAAAAAAAAATTAGAAATTTTTCACATCAATGCTTATTAATTTTATTGAATTTGAAGGTATTATTAAAATTAAATTAATTGTTGACGGAATGAGAAAAATTCCGCTGTGAATAAAATAATTGTTTCTGTAGGTTTAGAAAAAAAGATTTTGAGTCTGTCCATTTTTAATCAGTCAGTCGAGAGAGGGTAAACAGACAATTTATTTTTAAAGAGGGCCTTGTACTTTCTCATATATTTTGACACAATTTATTTAGACTGACTTTACCGTATAATGTACAAGATTGAACTTTTTAGTTGATATTATTAGCTCACCTGAGCTGAAAGCTCAAGAATCAAGAAAAGGGAAAAACAGGGTGGGGGTCATTAAAAAATTTTCTGCTACAGAATACCACTGGGCCAGAAAAGGCAAAGCTTACAAGTAGCTTCATAAAGATTCTAAATTCTTCAATTCATATGCCCCCAGGTTTGGTTGGGGCCACAATAGGGCATCAAGGTTTTACAATAAAATATATAGGAAAAAAATTGTTTAAAAAAAATTCTTCTCAAGAAACACTGGCACAGAAAATAGAAAACTTATGTGAAATTTCCTTCATTAGCATGATTAGGGGATCAAAGTTTTACATGGAATTATCGAAGAATTTCTTTTGGGGGGGGGGGGGGGGATCTTCTCAAGAACCACAATAGAACCATTAATTTGCAAACATTCCCAAGTTGTGTAGGTTCTTTTTTTTTCCAAGTTATGAATCCTTGGTAGAACTTGGTTTGAATCAGGGTCAAATTAAACATAATGCCTATAATTATAGCAAAAGAATTTTCCTCTCCATAACTGCAAGGCTGTATTGGTTATATTGAAGTATCCCATGTTGTGTGGTTTCAGAGATCTTTTAGACCATAATATGTGGTAACAAATTTTCATGGTAATATAACAATTTTTTGAAAATCTGAGGATGAACAGCAAAGCTTGTTACTCGAGTGTTGTGGCATGGGCCTCTTGTTTTTCAAATATCACAGTCAGATGACTTAATATATATGTACTATAAGTATTGAAACATTTGAAAATACTGTTCTTGTTAAAAATACTGAATTGTTAACCTGAGGGTTAATCTCATTTCTAATATGTACACAGTCACTTAAATTAATCTTTGATTTGATGTTATCCACAGATATTCGACTAAGAGTGAGAGCTGAGTACAGTGACCACGTGACAGCACTGACAGGAAATGTGAACTCAAACAAACCCACTCAGCTTGAAAGACAGTTTGAGAAATTCATGCAAGCCACAAACATTCTAAAGTCCAGGGATCTGGGATCCATTGTGTGTGATATCAAATTTACAGAATTGACATATCTTGATGCATTCTGGAGAGATTATCTGAATGGATCTTTATTAGAAGCTCTCAAGGGGGTGTTTATAACAGGTGTGTATAAATTCTCCTGTTAAAGCAAACCTTGATTTACAGTAAAATAATTAAAGATTAAAACATATAAATAGATTTGTCTGAATTCCTATGATACCCTTTGTAAAGATTTTAAAAAAACAAACTTAGGGAAAAAAAATATTTTAGCAGTTTTAAGGAAATCATTTTTGGGGTGATTTTTTTTAACCTGTATATTTAATTGTTATCCTGTGAGATTTGCTAATTAAAATTATTTTATAATATTGAGCTGAGAAATTAGTTTACTTTCTTAAAAACAATCATACATAAATTGACAATACTGGTTAGTTGCCACCAAAATAAATATTTGGGATTTTAATGCCTGATGCATACTTTTAGAAATATTCAACTTCATTACTATTTTTGGACCTTAACTTTTCCTTTGACCTTGATTTCATTTTTCTTAAATTTGTGTTTAGCTAAGTTTCAAAGAAACTATTCATGACATTATTATCAAACTTCATATGTGCTGATACATATTGATAGAGGTTATTCAAATGCATCAACATTTTTTTACCTTGACATTTCCTTTGACCTTGGGTTTGACTTCACTTTCTTAAATTAGTGATTATCTCAATTTCAAAGAAACTTAAGATATTTTTAAAAAATTTTATATGCTAATTTATATTTATGAAAGCTGTTCAACTGCATCAAGTTTTTATACGCCTGTCTTTAGACAGGACGTATTATGTTATGGCGTTCATGTCCGTCCGTCTGTCCGTCTGTCTGTCTGTCTGTTAGCTTTTCTCATGTCCGGCTCATAACTTTAATACTATTAGGCCTAGGATTATCAAACTTTGTCAGCTGATACTTCTTGGGTAGTAGGTGTGTCGCACACTAAAAGTAGGTCGTTCTGACCTTTAATTAAGATGCTATGGCCAAATATGGAAAAATCCTGTCCGGCTGATAACTAGAAAACTATTAGACTTAGAATCATCAAACTTGGCCAATTTGTGCATCTTAGGTAGAAGGTGTGTCACGACCTATTTCAAGGTCACTGTGACCTTTAATTTAAGGGAAATTTTTTTAAAAAACTATCTTTTTACTATTAAATTACACAATCCCAAAAAATGTAAAAGTGTTGCAGTATCCTTATCAAAAAATGTTAAAATCAAGAAAATACTTATTTTTTTCATTATATACTTTACAGCAATCAATAAGAAATATAATGTTACAAGAGAAATTCCACCTCTCCCATGGATGTAATTATCAAGCACCGGTCAAGGAGAATTTTGATAACATAAAATTGCATGTCAAATTAGAGAGAAATTAATGAGTTTAGTGTGAGGAGCTAACTGGTAGAGCATCTCTGATCAAGGAGGTGTTATCTATGTCTCTTGGGAATTGGGCAGAGGAATCAGCCATGTTGGATTAAATAGTTTTTGTGGGCTAGCCTAACTTTTAAAATGAATTTGGTGAAAAGTAATTAGAACTAATTTGATATTGTATAATAAACTAGTTTGATATTGTATAATAAACTAATTAATTAAAACTAATTATACTTGGGGGGGGGGTGATATTGGAATTAGCATGCCCGTTGTCCATATGAATTTGCAGCTTAAAACCAGTCTGACATTGAATCTAAAGAAAAAAAAAGAAAGTATTTAAAAAAAAATTAATTATGGTAGATAGTCCCTACAAATCTAAGAGTCTAGCAGAAACCTTATTAAAAATGTTGCATCAAGATTACAATTTTTTTTTCTTTTTATAAATCTTTGTAACAAATTGAAAAAAAAAATCTTTGTATTCAAATTTAATTTCAGAATGACATAAATATTCATTTTAAATGCACTACAAAGCAGATAGCACAGATCCATTCATCCCTTGGGAGTAATGAGTGGACATGCATCCAGTTAAAGAATAATTAATGAGTTCAGTGTAGGAAGGCTAGCTGTCTCAATCATTTCTGTTAGAGGATCTTTGATCAAGCTCTTATCTGTATCCTTTGGGAATTAGACAGAAGAACTGCTGGTCAGTTTATAGCATATGTCATTTGATGGCCAGTCTTTTATTTTAAAATTAATTTAGTATAGATTAAGTTAAGACTAAATTGATATTTTTTAATTGATATTTTTATTTTATTTTTTTAAAATATTGACGAACAAATTTCAGAGCACCATGCCTCACAAATATGAAAGATTGTGTGTGTGTCACTGTGAGTGTGGGTGGGGGGGGGGGGGGGGGGGTGCAGATGGGTATATGTCAAGCTCTAACACAACCAGTTGAGGATCGATAATGTTATATTTGTTATAATTCATGCCTACACCATAGGAAATGTATAAACAAATATTATAAGGAATGGAAAAATCTTGGAAATCCTTGTATCAAGGTTGACTTGATTTTCTTGCACTCTGAACTGTTTGTGATAATTGAACAATATTTGACGGGTGTATCATGCTGTGGCAGGGCACTTTATTTGACCTTGGCTTTTCCTTTGACGTTGACCTCACTTATCTTAAAATGGTACTAAGCTTCATTTCAAAGAAACTATTCAAGATATTTTAATCAAACCTAATATGCTGATACATAGAGAGCCATTCAACTGTATCAACATTTTTTACCTTCACCTTTCTTTTGATCTTAACTTCAAATTTGTGTTTAGCCTAAATATCAAAGAAAGGTTTTATGACATTTTTATCAAACTTTATATGCTTATTCATAAGCTGTTCAATGGCATCAATATTGTTTTACCTTGACCTTTTCTTTGACCTTGACTTCAAATTTGTGTTTAGTTTCAAAGAAACACATCAAGGTATTTTAATCAAACTTCATATGCTGATACATATTGAGATTAGCTATTCAACTTCATCAACATATTTGTCCTTGACCTTTCCTTTAATTTTGACCTCAATTTTCTCTAATCTGTGTTTTTGCTCAAAGAAACTATTCCAGATATTTTTTTTAAGCTTATGCACTAGTACATTTATATTTGGTGAGAATTTATCAATTGTGTCCATTTTTTTAGCTTGAACTTCTTAATGTCCTTTGACAGACTTTACTATATATTACTATTAAACTCAGTTTAAAAGAAACTATTCAAGGTATTTTCATCTCACTTCCTACACTAATAAATTTGTGTCCTATGGACATATTTCTAGTTTGATATTATTTTGTCAATATTGCACCTTCACAGTGTCTCCACATATGTGTCATTTTTAGCAAAAAAAAAAAAATGTTTAGCTCACCATAACAAAGTCAAAAATAATGATCTTATACTATAACCTGACATTGACAATGGCATCCTGGTTAAAATTTTAAGAGCAAGTCCATTCCCAATCAACTTTGAGGCTATGGTCTGAACAATTTACAGTGTACACTACTTTGGGAAACTTTTACTAAATTCCATCTTTTCAGGTCCAGTGGTTCTTGAGAAGATGATTTTTAAAGATTTTTTCTATATAAAGTTAAACTTTGATCCCCTTTGTGGCCTCACCCTACCCCCAGGGTACATGATTCGATCAATTTACAATGTAGAGTATCTCCAGGAAGTTTTCACATAAGTTTCATCTTTTCTACTCCAGTGATTATTTCTACTTCAATGTTTCTTGAGAAGATTTTTTAAGATTTTATATTTCAATGTAAAACTTTTATTCCCTATTGTGGGCCCCACTCTAACCCCCTCCCCGGGCCATGATTTGAACAATTTAGAATCAACACTACCTCAGGAAGTTTCCACTTAGGTTCACCTTTTCTGGCCCAGGGGTTCTTCAGAAGAAATATTTTCCCAATATATTTCAATGTAAAAATTTGTTTCCCTATTGTGGCTCCACCCTACTGGGACTATGATTTGAATAATTTAGAATCTACACTACCTCAGAAAGCTTTCATATAAGTTGTACCTTTTCTGGCCCAATGGTTCTTGAATAGAATGACCCAACTCTATTTTTTCCTTATCTTGATTATCTCCCCTTGGAAGGGGGCTTGGCCATTCATTTAAATAATTTAAATTCCCCTTCACCCAAGGATGCTTTGTACCAATGAATTTGGCTTAGTGGTTCTTGAGAAGAAGTTGAAAATGTGAAAAGTTTACAGATAGAAAGACATAAGGACGGGCAATAGGTGATCAGAAATCAGGTGAGCTAATAAGCCCTACTTGGTTCAAACTTGCATGGATTATGCAACTAGAGGTGGACACTGCTGGATCTGGCCTACATTTTTTGGATGAGTGAACAGGTTAATTTTTTTCAGAGCAGATCTTTTCCCAAGTAACTATAAGTCCTACTTAAACCAAAATTGCATGGATATTGTTCCACGATGCATACAAACTAGAAAATTTTGGTGTGAGATTTGCCTTACTTAAAGATAATATTCATCGAGGTGAGCTTCGCAATCATTGATTACCTATGTGTTTTTAATGAACAAATAATGACATGAGTCCATCAAAGATGTTTTTGATTTACAGATTCTCTGAAGGAAGCTGTCGGCAATGAGTCCATCAAGTTGTTGGTAAGTGTGGATGAAGATGACTATGAGGCTGGAAGGTTGCTGCTTTTAGAAAACTTGAAAAGGTCAAATCAATAATTGAAATGTAAACAGTGGTGGCAGAACATGGAGTCATTGAAATGATTTTTTTTTTCATTATAATGCTGCATGAATATTAACAGGGTTTTTTCCTGAATGTATTTTTTTCAATTGATTGAAGACAGAGTAATCAGAAAAGGGATGCATAATATTTTGATGTACAGTATTTGAAATTCTGTAAGCATTTTTTTCTGTAGTAAATGTATATATTAATTTGAAAGGTAGAGTGCCTTTTTTTCACTTTAGAAACTAAGGATTAAATCCATAATTATGCACTAAATGACAATTTGTTAATTTCATTATGTGTCCTAAACATTGGCTGTTTGGATTATGATTTCTTTTTATTTATTGAATATTATAATGGTTTTTGTAACATTTATACAATAAACAAACTTAAAATCCAATGTTCTTCAGTTTTGAAACAACAGTTTCAATTGAAAACAAGATATAAGTAGTCATTCTTAGGGAGGAAAAGGTTCCATATAATTGATAACATTAACACATGTTAGAAAACATCAGAATAAGAAAAATATGTGTCCATCTAGTTTTACAGCAGGACCTTGGGCCACAACACTCACCAGAGTAGCCCTGCTGTTCATTCAAAGATTTTTAAGATATTTTCTTCTCCTCTAGATTTTCATGAAAAATGTTGATCCTTTTCTGCCCCCTACCAAAACTCTAAGGGGTCCATGAATCCACATATCAAGGATGTTTCAATATCAATACAAATAACATTGCCTTGCAGTTTTGAAAAGAGAATTCTTTTCCTATGGTTTTATGCGTGTCTTATGAAAAAAATTAATCCCAGTTATGGACAATGCTAAACCAGGGTCATAATTTGGAGGGGAAAAAATCCACACATCTTGGGAATGTTTGGAAATTAATGGTTCTGTTCAGGTTCTTGAGAAGATTTTATTCCCTTAATTCCCACATATCACACATCTCCTGTTATGGCCCCACCTTACCCCTGGGGGGGGGGGGGGGGCTTGATTTGAACATTGTACAATTTATATAATGTCAGGAAGCTTTCACTTTGTTTCATCTTATCTGGTCCAATGGTTCTAGAGTAGAAAAGTTTTAAACAATTTTAGTTTGTATTCCAAATGAATGTAAAACCCTGATCCCCTATTGTGGCCCCAGCCTTCCCAGTGGGGCCATGTTTTCAAGAATTTAGAATGTAGGTTATATCAGGAAGCTTTCACCAAAGTTTCATCTTTTCAGGTCCAGTTCTTAGAAAAAAATGTTAAAAGATTTGTTCCAATATATTCCAGCACAAAACTTTGATCCCCAATTGTGGTCCCACCCTTCCCCTGGGAGCCATGATTTTAACAATTTAGAATATACACTTCCTCAGGATGCTTTCACATAACTTTCACCTTTTCTGGTCTAGTGCCAGTAGTGGTTCTTGAGAAGATTTATTAATAACCCCATTGTATTTTTGCCTTTTCTTGATTATCTCCCCTTGAAAGAGAGCTAGGCCTTGTATTTGAAAACAGAATTTCCTTTTATCACAGGATTCTTTGTGCCAACTTTGGTTAAAAGTGGCCAAGTGGTTCTGGAGATGTTGTGAAAATTTTACATACGGTAAGACAGATGCTGGACAGCGGGTCATCGCAGAAAGGTTCACTTGAGCTTTCAGCTCAGATGAGCTAAAATATAGAGAGGTGGGTCCATACCCCAAGTAAAGATTCTTAGAAATTTAAAGCTTTCAGCCAAAAAAATCACATACATCTGACATACTGATGGTATAACCTCCTCCCCCTTCCTCAATCATCATTGAAACAACAAGCCCGTAGCAACGGTTTCAAAAGTGGGGGGGGGGGCTTTCAAAAATATCTGACAAGCAAAAAAAGCTAATTTACTGTCCAAGTCCTGGAAATTGCCAGTGCTCGACCTTGCAAGATCAAAAAGTGGGGGGGGGGGGGGGAGGCCACCAGCATCTAAAGGAAAATTTACTATAGCAAAATACTATACTCGGAAAAAAGCCACCCCCCCCCTTCCCTTGTACTGGTTCATTATTGAAACTAAAGCTGAAAAGGGTTAATAAATACTCTAACTGGGTACCAGGTGTTCTATTATTCACATACACACACAAGAATCTTTCATATTCAAAGTTAAAAAACTACTTGTAACTAAGTAATCTGATTTGACTAACAAACAGGCACTTAGGAACCGGAAATATCCCTCCCCTATATTTTTGTCATTGCATACAAAAGAAAACAGCTAATTTACGGATGTGACCTGTGTATGTCAAGGTACGTGTCTCCCCTGACTAGACAGTGTATGATGTATTTTCAATCCTTATTTGAAGATATACATGTACATCAGATGCATTTCAACTAAAGCTTTCATAATTTTTTTGCAATGGAACGTGGAAATGCTACTAGTACTACATGTAGATATCTTTAGTAGACGTGTTGAATGTTAACGTTATCTAGAGAAACTTGAAGTTTGTGTCAATTTCTGAATAACTTCCTGACATTACGGAATATTTTATATACAGTTACAAAGCTTAATCATAACTTATGAAAAGCATACAGCCGTTCATTGAACAGTTGACACCTCAATGACAGAATTTCGCCCAAGGTATTTTGTAATATGTTTGAAATTGTAATTCAGCCACTGATCTTGACCGACTCCAGGTTGTAAGCTGGTACATGTAAGAGCAAGAAGGAATTTCCTAAAAAAAAAATATTAAACCGGTGAGTATTATCTAAACAAGAATACTATTTCAGGGGATTCTCAGCGGAGGGAATATAAATAAAATTAAAGAATTCTGAATAACCCTTGAAATACCAAAGGTACATGTAGGCCTATCTTTTAAGTCTGTTTTGGCGTTCCATACTTAGCCGCAAAACATATGGAATGTTAAACGAATAGATTGCTGTCAAAAAGGAGATACTACGAAAGCCTAGAGGGATCAAATAAGAAAATGAAAAAAAAAATTAAAAAGTCGTTATTACGACTTTAGAAAGTCATAATAACGAGATAAAAAGTCGTTATTATGACTTAAGAAAGTCGTTATTACGAGATAAAATTAAGTCGTTATTACGACTTAAGAAAGTCGTAATAACGAGATAAAAAGTCGTTATTACGACTTAAGAAAGTCGTTATTACGAGATAAAAAGTCGTAATAACGAGACAAAAAGTCGTTATTACGAGATAAAAAGTCGTTATTACGACTTAAGAAAGTCGTAATAACGAGATAAAAAGTCGTAATAACGAGACAAAAAGTCGTTATTACGAGATAAAAAGTCGTTATTACGACAAAGTCGTAATTACGAGATAAAAAGTCGTTATTACGACTTAAGAAAGTCGTAATTACGACTTAAGAAAGTCGTAATAACGAGATAAAAAGTCGTAATTACGAGACAAAAGTCGTTATTACGACTTAAGAAAGTCGTTATTACGAGATAAAAAGTCGTTATTACGACTTAAGAAAGTCGTAATAACAAGATAAAAAGTCGTAATTACGAGATAAAAAGTCGTAATAACGAGATAAAAAGTCGTTATTACGACTTAAGAAAGTCGTTATTACGAGATAAAAAGTCGTAATAACGAGACAAAAAGTCGTTATTACGAGATAAAAAGTCGTTATTACGACTAAAGAAAGTCGTAATAACGAGATAAAAAGTCGTAATAACGAGACAAAAAGTCGTTATTACGAGATAAAAAGTTGTTATTACGACAAAGTCGTAATAACGAGATAAAAAGTCGTTATTACGACTTAAGAAAGTCGTTATTACGAGATAAAAAGTCGTTATTACGACTTAAGAAAGTCGTAATAACAAGATAAAAAGTCGTTATTACGAGATAAAAAGTCGTAATAACGACTTTTTATCTCGTAATAACGACTTTCTATCTCGTTATTACGACTTTCTTAAGTCGTAATAACTACATTTTATCTTGTAATAACGACTTTCTTAAGTCGTAATAACAACTTTTTATCTTGTAATAACGACTTTTTATCTCGTTATTACGACTTTTTATCTCATTATTACGACTTTCTTAAGTCGTAATAACGATTTTTTATCTCGTTATTACGACTTTCTTAAGTCGTAATAACGACTTTCTTAAGTCGTAATAACGACTTTTTATCTCGTTATTACGACTTTCTTAAGTCGTAATAACGACTTTTTATCTCGTTATTACGACTTTAGAAAGTCGTAATAACGACTTTTTATCTCGTAATAACGACTTTTTTATCTCGTTATTACGACTTTTTAAATTTTTTTTTTAATTTTCTTATTTGACCCCTCTAGGCTTTCGTAAGATACTTTTATATTGCACTGATTTAATTCAGACATTCAGGTAAGTAAATGTACATCGAATGCATTAATAACCTAGCTTTAAAACGTATGTTTGATACAATTTAATCTTATGTATTCAGTTGTCCATTTTTCACTATTTTCTCACGCAGTTTTACGTAATATATTCCGTGAATAAGAAATGAAAGTGATATCATTGCGTTTGCATATTATACCTTTGACTTTTTATATCATTTTAATTGATAGATAACAGATCTTTTAAAAACGGTACTGCGTAGGTAGAACGTTCAGTCTGATTAAAATCTTGCGTGTATGTACATATATATCCTTTGATCCGCTCACATGTTCTCAGAGTTGAAGAGATCAAAGGATAGGATTTTAGGCAGATTGACATACGAAAGCCCATTGTACGAGAATTTTTTTAACCTACGAAAATGAGTTCAATGGGCTTTCGTATTGACAGAACGTTCTATCATTAAATTTAGGTTTTAAAATATTTCCTCTTTGCAGCTGGGCCCGTTGCCCCCCCCCCCCCAACACTATTTCTGAGAATAAATTATAGCCTTTTGCTGTAGTTTTGATATATTTTCTTTAGACCCTACTTCCTACTTGCCCCCTTCTTTTTGTAGCTGTAAGGTCGAATTTGGGGAAAATTCAAAATTTCAGCATTTGAAAAAATATATGTATATCGAAAGTTCGAGAAAGTCACGTCCAGACCCCCCCCCCCCCTTTCCAATATGATTTCGGAGCTTGGACAGATCGGCAGTTTAGGTTGTTTTATTATTGTTTTTTTAAATATGTTTTTATTTATTTATTGTCAATTTTATTTCCGGGAGGTTCCCACCTCCACCCCCCCCCCCTCCCACCTTTGAAAAACGTTGGTACAGGTCCGCTACGGATCCAAATTAAATATTATCGACTATTATTGAAAGTCTATATATCATGACATCCGAGTTCAATTCAAATGAATCCGGTTCCTACATGTACGTCCATGTATTTACACTACATTTTATCTTTACAATATCTTTTTTCCATTTAACAAATCTTG